TTGTTTTATAGTAATAAAAGGTAATATTCATCAAGATTTTTAAAAAACCCAAATATTTAGTTTCCAAATAACAGGGCTTCAAATTACATGAAGCAGATTTGTAAATTACAGATTTGTAAGTCAAAATACTGAATTATAGTCAGATATCACAATCACTATGTTCCAATCCTCAGAAGGAAATCTGGACAAAAATGTTTCATGAGGACATAAAAGATTTGATCAACATTATGAAATAACTTGATCTAATTGACATTTATATTCCATTTCACAGTGGCATAATGCATACACTCTTCAAGTACAGACAGAACATTTATCAAATTATATCCATGTCAGCCTGGGGATTTAGCTCAGTGGTTCCAGCGCCTGCTTTGCAAGCAAGCGCAAGGACCTGAGTTTGATCCCTGGTAAAAAAAAAAAAAAAAAAGGTTACATTCATGTTCAGAGCCATGAACTCAGTCTCAATAAGTTAGAAATTATTCAGACCACATAAAATATGAACTCCTAAGTTAATATTATTTAATTGGCAACAAGTAAAAGAAAGGCATTTAAAATCTTTTGGAAAATACTCCAAATTTGCAAATAAAATAATGCTTGTAAAGAATCTATGGATTAATGTTGAAATTTCAGGGAAATTAAAAAATATTTTGAACTGAATAAAAACACAGTATATCACAACATAATATAAAGAAACAAAGCTACAACAATATTTATGGAGAAATACCTACCAAGAAAAGAGTAAATATCAGAGTGGAAATCAATGAAATAAAAATAGAAAACCAATAGAGTCAATTAATCTAAAGGCTGGCTCTAGGGCAAAATAGATAAATTTAAACACATATCATTAACACTATGTCAACATTTGACAATATAGATGAAAGATAGCAAATACGCAGAGTACTAAGACCACTCACAAAGAAATCAATATAGGAAGAAAGGGGTTAAAGGTGTAGGGGAAGTGGGAAATGTAGGGGAAAGGAAATAAGGGAAAAGAAAAAATATGAGAAAAGAAAAAAAAATGAAAACAAACTTTGTAAAGAAAGATTCCCTCCCACCAAAGAAAAAGAAAAAAAGAAAGATCCTATTCTTTTAAAAACTTCAGGCAACTATCATTTAAAAATTTATCATTTTAATATGTTAATTTAGAAAATATAAAGAGATATGTTTCAAGAACCTAGCATTCTTATAGAATCGTCAGTGTGATTTTGAATAATTTTTTCTTGGTATAATAGATTTATTATTGTTTGATATCTGAACAATTTTTAAGTGTACAACTCACAGTAATTAATTACAGTTACAGTGCTAGGCAACTGATATCTGCCTGTAAAACTTTTCTTTGCCTCAAACAGAAACTCCATATGCACCAAGCAGTAACTGACCATTCACAGAGTTCCACTTAACCAGCGACCCTCTCCCTATGAGTTTCCCTACTTCAGACATCCACGTAAACATGACCACACAATCCGGCCCTCAGGGCCAGGCTTATAACTCTTAGCCTAATGTTTTTAAGGCCCATGCATCATGCATCAGAACTTCATTCCTTTTGCACTCAGGTACATTCGAAATCAGTAGCACAAGCAAAGACAAAAGCAGACACATGATGTCTTAATACATGAATTTTGACTCATTTACTTGGATGGAATGGATTTTGAAGCTTCCTAAATAAACTTTAAAATTATTATCAAAACACCCACAAGAAACATCATTATTTCAGAGTCAGGGCATTTCTAGACTTACTCTACTTTTTTTTGTTTGTTTGTTGTTTGAGACAGGGTCTCACTATGTAGTTGAGAGTGACCTGGAACTCACTATGTAACCCATGCTGGTGTCCAACTCATAGTGATCCTTCTGCCTCAGCCTCCTGAGTGCTGGGATTACAGGTGTGTGCCACCACGCCCGGCGCTGATTTACTCTATTTTTAAACCTTGGAAAATAAGGAAGGAGGTAAGGGAATTATTATAGAATTCATGGTTTTGATAGAAATGGTAGAAGACTAAGAATAGGAGGAAAGACTGTCCCAGGTAGGCAGAGCGGTGGAGAAATTGAAGGTGCAATAGCACAGTTCAAGCATGCCTCTGGCACGTGAGTCTGGGAATCAAAATATGTTTTCCATTTTATGAGCATCCTGTTCATGGATATGTTCACAATTCCGACATTCAAGTAGCTTTACTAGAATCTAACTGAAAACATGCAATATTTCTTCAATCACATTTTGATTGAAAAAATTTTTCAACAATTCCAAGTCTTCCCAGGAACGTCCAAATGCCAGATGAAGCTACTGGGGTAGAATTATTGAAGCACTGGGACTTCCAGTGTGGGTTATGGTGTCCTTTTAAATTTTTATTTTAAAATAATTCTAAAATGTAGATGTTCCAGCTAAGCAAGAGCATAGACTCCCCACAGGAGGCCTAAAGAGAGCTGAAAGCAGTTGTTCTTGTTTGGAGAGTGAAGGAGAAATGGCTCGGTGGTCCTCAGCTTTCGGATACCCTAGGGTCTGGCTCCGCATGGCACTGTCACTTGGACGAGTGAAGACAGGAGAGCAGGAAGTTTCTGGAGTTGATGTGTAATACTGTTCTAAGAAAGCAGTCACTGAGAATCTTAGAGCGCCAAGGCAGATAGTCTAGAATGTAAACAACTTGCTGGAAAAGAATGTGCCCTTCACTTGTTTTAGTGAAGTTAGATCTCCAAAAACAAGGACTCCAATAGGCCCCGGATGTTCACTAAATACAGTTTCTCTAACGCCCACAGCAGTAATCAAAAAGAATTATTGTATTTCTATAAAAGGTAGCAGAAGCTACCTTGAATACTGACACCTTCAAACAAATTTTTTTCATTTAAAAAGATGATCTGCCAAGTTAAATTCCCCAAATAAGTTAAATGGTGCATAGTAAACAAAATAGGGTAGCCTCTAGGGAAATCCTTTATTGACACTGCATGAGGTATACTGATTGTAGCACCATTCTTAGAACTTGTCCACGGAGCAAAAGTAAACTGGTGATATAATTTCACCATTTTAGTCTGTATCAGCTTTCAGTTAACTTATACTAATACAGTTGTATTGAAAGTACTAATCTACTTCTTATTTTTCTTATCACCTTTTTTGCCCCAAGTATGCTTACTTTAGAATCAGATTGTGACACAGAGTTTAATCAATTCATTGTTCCTAGATAAACTATGGCACATGTAGTATTTGGGTACATTCCTTGGTTCCAGCAAGTAAATGAAGTGTTTGAACTTGGACTCTTTCGTCCAGTGGCTTGTCATTCTTGTCACACTCTGAATTTCGAATAATGTTTAGGAAAAGAGTAAGTGTTCTGAACGCTGTACTTTCATACAAAGATATTTTTAGATTTCTTGTATTATTCTTTTTAAGCCGAATAATGTTTACAGTCGAAGGTGCTGGTCAAATTACTTGTTCAACAAACAAAAACATACAACATAGCATAAGAGACAGTCAGTGGAAAACCAAGTGATGAAACAATCCATTTGCTCAGGAGTCACAGTTCCAAAAAGAACACACTTGATTTAGTCATTGAAGGAACCACAAATGTTTATAGATAACAAACTGTAAGGTGAGGAGAAGAAGAAATAAAACAAATACACGTCCAGTTCAGCATATCTAATAGAGGGACTGACCAGCAGCGAATGTGTCAGTAAGATTTCTAAAAAGATTCTATGCTCATCTGAAGAAGACAAATTTGGTTTCCTAAAATAACTACTCGCATTGTTAAAAGTACTTCAAAATTTTCCCTTTAAGGTTTTTTGTTTTACCTCTTTTACGTACATTAAAATCCATAGATTTCTATTGATCCTGTTAATATTTATACCACTTTTTTCAAATGAACATTCTACCTTCACTTAAGTATCAAAGAGCGTTTTCATTCCTTTATGGAAGACTTAGTTGAGATATAAACAATCTGCTCTGAAGTGACTGTGAACCAGAATGAAGAATTTCAAAGAGTGCTTAAAACGCTTTGTAAAATGATTTTGTCAGGCTCAAGGAATTTGCAGCATCTCAGCATTGTCATAACCCTGCCCCCTGATGTGAGGATTTTGCCTTTTTCATGACATACAGTTCTCTTGGCTATGTGTTTGCTGCCTGCATTTGGCCTGGATGTTTATGCTCTCTCACGTTATACAGAGTCACTTTGTGACGAATTTCCAGAGCACTGAGTCAGAGTGAGCCTGTCACTTTTCCTTTCTTTTTTGTCACGTGGTATTTTTCTTGGCTTCAGTTCTTCATAATTCTTTCAGAGAAATGAGTTTTTTCCATAATTAAACAATTCCAGTTCTGTGGGAGTGTATCTCATTATTATATGCTTTTCTTTACTACTAGAAAGATAGTTTAATATCTTTTCTTAACCAAGAAAAATATAACAGCATGCGCATCATGAATGTATGTAATCAATTGCTTTAACTTACATCTGTGCATTGTACATAGGTTTGATCATAAGTATCCTTATTTAAATATCTTAGAATATGAGTTTTCATCTTTGGAAACATGTGAAACATTTTCTTAGAAACATTAATGCTGGCATAAATTATTTAACCTAGATTATAAAACGTAACATTTGTACTTCATTTTAGGCTGACAGGAGCTCTTTACTGTAATTCTTTATAAGTTACTGAATGAAATTTAAAGGTAACCAAACCTTCAAAAAGCTCCAATTAAGTAGACACAATTACTAAAGAATCTACACTCTTAAACTACTACAATTTTAAAATGATGAAAAATCTAACCAACTACATATAATAACATTCATGGTCTGAAACAAAAAAAAAACACTGTTCATATATTTGCTTAAGAACTTCTCACAAAATGCTGAGAACTTAATTTTGTATTGCAGTATCAGTCTACTTTTTTTGTTTTTAAAGAAGATCTGATTTTCATTTTAGAAGAAAAGGTGATCTTCCACTGCCCTTCTTTTCCGGCTTTTTCCCCCCAAGAAAAAGAAAGAAAAGTGATTTCTCATGGACTGGATAGTAGATTCCCAAGTACTCACGCGTGAAATCTCTGAAGAAATTTCTTGCAAAGATTTTTTTTCTCAGCGGGCTTGAGGTTATTTCGCTTTCCCCTTCCAGGCTTGGAAATGAGGATTTCTCTTCTCCGGTTCTTCTTTTAAACAGATCAGGAAAATGAGGATTGGACAGTCCAGAAGGAAGTGAAATCCGATCCTGCAGGCAGTGACCAAGGAGGTAAGAAGCGAAGGATTATTCAGCCCAAAGCGCCTGTGCCGGGGGTGTCTGTGGTTGCGAGGCCCCAGGGCTGCGGGCTGGGAAGAGCCTGTTTCCTGTGAAGTCACCCAGTGCTCAGTCTCCTGCCAAACTCCCAAAGCCGGCCTCTTCCCCCTCAGTGGAGGAAACACATGAAAGACACCGTTTAAACTGAAAGTTTAGACGCTATTGCAACTGGCACCTCGAAGGGGAATCTTAAAAGTTAGATTGTTCTTTTAATTTTAGAGACAAGTAGCTTCTCTGAAGTTCCCCATCCTGGCACACAGGGACAGAGGTCTGGGTCCAGAAGGGCAGAAAACCCAGCCATGTGGATTGTTCGTTGTATTCCCCCACAAGAAACACTTTCTTGCTATATAAGACCCTGCATACCTGAACCAGGTTCGATGGTGATTTGAGACAAATGGGCCCCTCTGTCTCCTAACTTTGAATAAATCCTTTTTACCAAAATAAATGGCCCCTTTGATTGATCAGTGGCCAGCAAACCAACCTGAGCAGATGCTAATATTATCATGTTTGAGTAACTTCTTTTTCATGTTTTAAAATTTTTTGTGGGAAGTTTTAGAAAATACTCCCCCCGATTTATGTTTTTTAAAATTATGTATTTACCTTATTTATTCTTCATGTTTATCATAATTGCTTTTAAAAATTATGTATTTACCAAAACACTGTTAATAAACAAGCTCTTCGTTTGCAGTTTATTTCTTATCTATCTTCAAATTACTTCATCCACATTGTCAGTGTATTTATGAAAATAATTTAAGGGCTCCTGGAGTCCCTCCTATTAGAAATAAAGTATCATTTAGTGCAAAAGATCAGGCTGTGGATCTACTACTTTGCTTTTTTAACTCTGGGTAATTAAAAAAAATTACCTCTGCCTCAGTTTCTTTCTCCCTAAAATGGTCATAATACAAGTTCCTAGGCTTGATATAAATATAAATGTGGATTAATATCTGAAAAGGGAAGGTGATCCCACCATGTAACAGAGCTTAAATAAATACTACAGCATCAGTAAGACACCCATGTGTAAATACCGAGTAGTTTCTCTGGTGTGAAAAACTAAAAGTGGAAATAAGATCCAAATTGTATAACTGACAATGTGAAATAGGAAGAAAAGGGCTAAAGGTGTAGGCCAATTGGGAAGGGTAGGGGAAAGGGAATAAGGGAAAAGAAAAACTAAGAGAAAAGGAAACAATGGAAACAAACTCTTTTTAAAAAGGGAAGAGGGAGCGGGTAAAGGGAAGGTAGGATCAAGGGGAAAAAATGAGATCCAAGACCTGGCATGTAAAGGTGCAAGATCCCAATGATGAATGCAACTGTACTGTAGACCTAAACAGTACCAATAAACTCAATGGAGGGGGGGGGAGACCATGGCTCTTGAATGTTGCTCATACTGTCACTATTTTACAGAATATGTGCATATGTAGAGCTATCACTCAGCCTTGCTATGCTGTAGGACCCTATCACTGGAGTTACTGCTTAGCACTTCTGTAATGGACTTCTAGTCGGGTCAGACCAAGACCACCGGAGATGTCTTGCACTTTGAAAGCTTAAGACATCTGGGTTCCAAATCCCCAGTTCCTTATATTCTCCATCTCAGACTCTTGTAGTGCTTCACCTCTCTTGCTTCTTTACTTTGACGCCCAGGTAGGTGGTAATGTTTTCTTTCATGTGTCTTTAGTGTTTAACGCTCGTGTTTAATTCTCACCCTAGCTGGGAGAGAAGCCCCTCTGTGTACCTGTCACCTCGGAGGTGCCAGAGAGCATTGCCCAGGTGAGGATTCCGACCTTATCATCGGACTGCAGGGCTCAGAGACTTCTGTTCTGCTCCCCGTACTGTTTCCCAGCCCTGTCTGGGTTTCATTTCTGTTACCTCTTCCTTACCCTGTGCTCCCCTCCCTCATGCTGCTGGGTGACATGGCCCATTCCTTGCACTACCATGGCCATCGCTTAAACGTTGGGTCAGTTTATTGGTTCTGCTCAGCTAGAGATCAGCTCAACTAACGCTGTGACCTTTATTGGAAATTTGAAATACGATGGAAGATGGAGAGCATCTGCCAGTCTTTACTAAACAGTTGCACAATGTGGGGCTGAGAGCATCATGGCTGTGTGCAAGGAAGTCACATGGGATAAGCCAGTTGAGAGTGAGTAATGGAGACAGCAAAGAGGGCTTGGAACCTGAGAGACGACTGGGGTGATGGTGCGGACAAGAGTAGGGAGTGGCAGGAAGTGAATGATGAAGACTGATTTTCCCAGGGACCCAGGAATATGCGTCCCGGCTTTAAACCTCCTTTCACTGAAAAGCCATATAGGGAACCTCTCTTTCTTACTATGTCAAGAACCCTATGTGGTTGATCCACAGCTGAGCTGAAATTATTTTCCAAAAATCATAAATACCATTCTTCAGCTGCCTTTCGCATCAGTGGAACTTTTTCCTGTTACGTTTTCCTGTAAATCACACAACTTGTCCATTCCTGTACCCGAGACAATGTTGAGCCCACTTGATCTCAGGACACCATGAAGCCTGCCTCATACCTTAACTGACAGGCTCTGTGAGCTCCCCTCGCCCCTCCCGGCGGCTTGTGGAAGGTAATTTTTTGTGGTTTTTATTGCTAGTTTGCCATCCCATTGTTTATAGCTTTAAGTCTAAATTATCTGGGTAAAGTAAATTTTCTCAACAATACTGACATTGTACCTTCAGTATCTTCATTTCTAACCAGTGTCTGCACGTTCTAAGACCCCTGCCTAGTGCTCAGTTCTTTTATTTTCATTCCTCACTGCATTTCATTATTTTTCCATCTCAACAATATGAACAGCACTTTAAGCTCTAAATGTGAACTTGTACATTTGCTGACAAAGCTGTAAAACTAATATATTTCTTTACTTGGTCTGTATAGCAGGAGACATTTCCTAATGTTCTCCTGTAAGAGTGCTGTTTATTGAACTCTACACAAATTTTCAAAAAGGTCAGGAAAGTATATAATTATAAGGCATAATGTGAAAGGAAATTGGTTCCTTATTGTGAAAAGAAGACACAGGATAATAAGTAAAAATTAAGTTCATCATATCAAACATTCACATCATGCGCCTTTATCTATTTTAAAGTGTATTAAAGTTTGGACGTTCCATTATTTTGTATAGCAAACAATTATTTTTCACACGCAGTGGTACTGCACAGACATTTGCAGTATGTGGAGAGGGGAGGAACAGTGAGCTTCGCTCTTAATTTTCAGCCTTACATTCAAAATCTAACCTCAGTATTTGTGGTTCGCTTCTCCTGCCATGGTGAAATTAACACATAAAGCCCGGGTTTTGCTAATTTTATGATGTAACCTTCCTAATTTTCATGTGCCACGACTCTGTGCTCTAGCACATATTTACTTCTGGGTAAATACAGTTGATTCATGGTTTCCTGCTCTCATTTCTCCCCTTCTCCTCAAGGCAGTGAGACCTTTGTGATTGTTTGTGGAGGGTCCCTGGGGCGTTTCCTGCCCTTTCTCCTGACCACTGTCTTTGCGAAATGAAAGTTCATTCAGCCTGATTGTATCTGTCCCAGTCTAGCCGAGACTTGCAATTTCAAATACATTTTCACTTCAGATCATCGTTCTTACAAGGTGAAGCATTGCCTGTTAGGAGTCTCTTCTCTCTTGTCCTCTGAAACATCCACTGTGCAAGACCCGCGAACCCTCAGCTCCTGGCCCTTCTCTTCATCTGGTTAGGTTAAAGGGTAAAAACGAAACAGAAATGGAAAAATAAGTCAGCTAGTTGTCAACCTCAGTACCTTCCAGCGACTGTCCAACTGGCTCATTATTAGCCAAAATTCCATATCTTGTTCACTCTAACAAGAATTGAAATGCCTACTACTCAGTGTGAGTTTGAAATCAAAGTATCTGTGTGAATAAGTTATCACCACAGCATTTTAAAACCATTAAATACTGCAATTTTCCTAATTTTTAAAAGACACTTTTTAAAAAATCCATCTTATGGAAATAAGAGCAATTACATATATAAAAGGAGGGAAGCACTTCCTTAACTTCACTTTCTGTAGTAGACTATATTTTTTGTTCAATCACATTTTCTGTCTCTCTCTCTGTGGGTTCCCCTTGGTGACTAGAGAGAAGAATATGTTTCCCTCTCTATTAATGTCAGGTCTTGCTGCGTGACTAACTTGAACATATAGAATTATCAGGCAAACATATATAAGTGACAGCCGAGAACTTTTATGAGTTGTGTGGGCGGTTTCTGAGTTCGATGTTCCATAATTCTTGTCTATTTTTCTCTGCCAGATGGTTGTTAGGTTAGAGATAAGGGCTATTCTTTCAAGCTGGATCGCAATAGAGAGGAAATGGAGAACCACAAAGGGATTGAAAACGTATACTTTCCATAAAAGCTCTACGAACTCAGGGGTTGTTTGCTACCAAAGCATGGGGTAGGCTGAAGAGGGTAATACACTTCTTCAGGTCCTTTTTCCCTTGGAGATATACTATCTTGACCCTGGAGGACTTACTGGACTACTTGACCACACACCCGCATCTCCCAGGGCCTACCTTCTTTCTTGGTCCTACATACCAGCAGGCTATGAAGTAATTAGGGAAAAATACTGTACAGAACTTTCCTTACAATGAGATCCAGTCTTAAACAAGTTATCTAATCTTAAAGTTAACTAGATAACAACATTAAACATCTAAATTGAAATAGATTCCAGGTCAACGTCAATTATTCTTAAGCAATGTAGGAACAACAAAAAATTTTTTCAGAAATTTTATAATCCCAAGCAAGCTGATCCCATATGTAGGCAAATCTTATCTTTTCAAACTAAAATTTGCACGGATATAAAAATAAATATACTCTTTCAACCTTAAGTACAAGAATTGTTATGTTACTTTTATTTTATCTACTTCATTTTTCTTATGTGTAAGATAGTCTTTGCTAATTTTAAATTGAAAAGAGTTTTGAGAACTGGTTGTAATGTGTGGTGACACAAATCTCTCATCATGACTGAAGTTATTCACCCCTCACAAGAAGCTGTCCCAAGAAGTTATCATCTTACGTTACATGATTTAAAGCTCAACATCTTGAGTAAATGAACTGTTTCCATCAGATGAAACATATTAATTAGGAAAATA